TTACTGTATAATGCACAACATTTAACTCAAAAATTAAAAAAATTTCTACAAAAAGAGGGGTTACCTTTAATTTTCTCTCACGGTACACAACAGAATTTGATAATATATACACCATTGGATAGAGGAAGTCTTCTTGTACAAACCTACATATATCGCATTTCGGAGTCGAAACCTTATAGTCGCCTTTATTTGTCAATTTTTAACTTTCGAAAAGCACTTTTGAAATTCTCACTGTAGAGAAAAGATGTTTTTTTGTCTTTTCATTCTAGGTTTAGACAAATTGATATCAACATTTCGGCGAACATCCTATTGGTTAACTCATCCAGTCATGTGCTATCATGAACGAGGATTTCCTTGTTTTACTATTCTCTCTCTACCGTGAATATTGAAAGAATCAGATTCAATAACAAATGAAATTGTTAATTATCGTATAAATACAACAACGCCCTTAAAAATGAGCAATGTTAAATCAATTTTTCTTGCTTCAATAACGATAACATTAGAATTTTTAAAATTTATTAAAGAAACATTTGTTAATTTAAATCAAATGATTATATCATGGCATACGTGTACTTTAGATGATAAAGTCATTAAAGCAAAAACAAAAATTAAATTAGATACAATAAAAATATTAAAATATTACGGTGCAACATACGATTTAGAATATATTGATTTTTTATTATTAACACCAAATATTCGACGTTTCATCGTGGATGGTTCTGCAATTCATGTCATCAATGGTTATACACCAGAAAATCAACAAGTGGCTTCTATATGTGAACAAATAAGTGATTTGAATATATTTAGAAATTATAGCGATTGTGATGAAGATGAGACAGAAGAAACATTTCCAAATGCAAAACGCAGTTCAAAAGATATTTAGAGTGTATTTTCGTTGACCAATGTACATTTAATGTACGAAAACTATTTCTCTTTTTGTTGTTATCATTTAATTTAGCTGTTGTACAGTAGAAAATCGATGAAGAAAAACTATTTTCTATTAGCAAATAAGAAACTGATCAGTGCCTTCAAGGTAAATTTATTTCAAAGCTGCTCATTTAGCAGTCGAAAAGTTCAAGCGTTTGCTACTTGTACTGTGCTTTATCACGCGGTTAGTTCAAACTTCTTTTCTGTAACGTTTCTCTCAATACAGTTGAGAATATAACACGTAGGCCATAAAGAATCAGTCATTTTGTAATTTGCTTATATCTTTGTCACAGTGTAGCGTTAAGACTTTTCTATTATTTTTTTAACTAAAAGAATCGCTCTACAAAAAACGTACTGAATGTTTGGTTAGAAAATGTGAAAGTAGAATGTTATAACAAAACTATTAAGAAGCTTAAAAATGAGAATTTTATAATGTAATAATCAGTTTTTTGTTGTTTTCTTCCTTTGGCGGTTGCGATAAAAAAACAATTTAACTAGTCAGGTTGTAACTCTTGAAAAGGTCGATGTTCTAAATGTGATGAAAATTTTTCTACATTAAAACGGTATAAAACACATTGCTTATGACATCATGCCATGGTACGATAAGACAATGATCAACTGGAACAAAATGACAAAAACGAGGACAGATAATGTAGAAGAAAACAATACTATCACTGATTTTTATTTGACATTTGTTTGTTTCAGGAATAATTTTCCCCGTTACACGGTTGATGTTTCATGCATGGAAACCTAAACGTACTGGTAAAAAGCATCCTTTTTGATTACTTTTCAAATTAGGTTTAAAATCGGGAAAAAAGTGAAATTTAATGTAAACATGATATTCACGTACTTCTAGAAGCAGAGAAAGAAGAATCTTTGTAAAAACCAACCGTGATTAGTAGAATCAGAAATGAAGACAAAATCCAACGCAGGTGTACTTTTAAGTCACTAGAGTGCCTTCTCTAAATAATACTATCTTCAAAATATTACCTGCATGAAATAATATTCAAGAGATATTTGCATAGCTAATCGCTGCAATCTATATTATACATATGAAATCGATATATGTTTGACACAATCAAACGAATCGTAAGAATAGAGTTTAACAGGGGTACGTTTAAAAAAAACGTTTTTCTCACAACTTTTTCTGTATAATAAATAAGTTTTTTTAAGATATCCGACCATGAATAAGTGCTTAGTAACAATTGCTCTAATCGTTGCATATTTCGGTTTTATTCAGACCGTCTCTGTAGATGTTGAAGACAGGAAGGATGATCATGTTCAAGTTCCTCTTGTTGACAGCAGACTCATAAAGACCCTCTACATTCAAATGAAGGACAACTATGGTTGCGACGCGGTCATCAGTAGCTGCGGCCAAAAAGGCAGGTGCTGTGATGTGCACGATGAATGTTACCGCATTAATGGCTGTACGGCGTCGAGCTGGTACCTGACATGGCCCGGCAGTCCATGCGATAGATGCAATGGTGCTGTCATGTGGTGTGCCGTGGCGCTTAATCCAGGAAAGAGCTCATGCTGTTCAGCCGGAAACTGTGGTCAAAAGCGGCCATAACTCCATTGTAGGGTGTGATTCCCGAAGAAATTTTTCCTTATAAAGTATTTATTGTCTGTTTTCCCATTTTATTTATATCAATAGTGTAACATTATAAATGACGTACTAATTTTTACTCCGGTATTGGTTTCATTGTCACACCTTTTTGAACTAAATGGAGAAACTTTGAACTGAATTGTTTAACTCGGAAATAGTTTAAAGCTATTTCTCAGTCATGCCGGCGACCTTGTCATCCGTATGATTGATGAAATGTTTCAATCTCTAATATAGCTGGGGGTAAAATTCCTATAAAGTTCCTAGTGACTTAAAAGTACCCTGCGTTAGATTTTGTATTCATTTCTGATGCTAGCAATCACGGTTGATTTTTACAATGATTCTTCTTTCTCTGCTTCTAAAAGTACGTGAATATCATGATAACGCTCGTCTGCACTCACTCGGTCCCTTGACTTTGTATATCTGCGAACGACCTTTCATGATTTTGAATCCAAGATAAAGCTCACACCTCTCTTCAGTCAGTGTTCGCTACCTACAAAGATCCGCAGAGATCTAAAAGTACTTCTGAACTGAAGTCAATGCTCACGCCTTCCTTCGGTCGGCGTTCGCACTTATAGTGTTTTTAATGATTAATGGGACAAACGAGAACAAAATGAGTTTACACTTTGAATAATGAATTTCCATTCTGTTTTCTATACTGAGAAAAATATAACCCACTTTGCTTTTGAAAATTTCCCCTTTATCTTGTTTTCATATTTTCTACCTTACAAAATTAACCCATCGATCTCAGTTTGTTGAACACTTGTGAGCGAGAGAACCAGTATAATTACTGTTTAATTGTCTAATTTTCATCATAATACGACATAGCTAGCGTCTGAAAATTAACATCAACAGGATATTAGTCAAACAGGATTTCTGACTTCTATCTAAACCTATAAAAGTTTTACAGCGTTTCTTTTTCTTCACAAGTGTTCACCTTTCAGCTATGGTTTTAGTTACATTTTGTTTTAGATGAGTCATCTAGGATTTTGGTTGTTAAATTTGTCATTTATTGGGGTAGAGAAGTTAATTTCGGTCCATTTAACTGAAAGTGATAACCCGAAACCCCTATGCCGATAAAGAAAATCTCTTTTAGCCGTATTAGGGAAAAATTTCAACTGTTCCCATTTTGTCCCCTTTACATTTCATATCAAAGTGGAAAATCCTACTCTAACCCTAACAGTAAAGTGGAAAGTTTCACTCTGAAAGAAAGTCCTATTAAAAACACCGCGCACCTAGGGAAGGTAAGAAATATTGCGAACTTCTTTAATTCCGCGAAAAAGGTGCATAATGTAACATAAACCTGAAAAGTTTTCTGTACACGCTCTGAAGATACGAAGCGAACCTGCAAGTATTTTTGATGGATTGGCCATGATAGATTATCTATATTCTGTAACTTTTATTATCTGTGGATGACTTTTTTATGTTATTAAAACTGACTGACCTCTGGCAACATCTATCTCCCAACTGCAGAAAAAGTTTGATTAGCTATTTATCTCTGCTATTTATCTGTATCAGTAAATATAATTTCAGTCATCTCTTTGAATATTTTCTCTATTGTGTAAAAAAAGAATTTTCTACTTTTCTCTCTGTGGTTATCCCATTGGAACTTTTAAATACTTTGGAATTAATGCAAAGTAATTTCGAGGTTCAAAGGAATTTGAACAAATTTGAAAGGAAATTCGTTCACATTAATTTAAAAGCTTTTTGGCGTTCAAAATTAATGCGCATCAATTTAAATCTTTGAATAAATGAAAAAAAAATAGAAAAATATACTTC